TTAGGGCTTAGGGTGTTAGTTTCCTATTCTGATTAGAATTACTTTTCCCTATTTAAAGGGGCTTGTAACCCTAATTGAGAAGGCGATTGAATCTGAGATTTTGAGAGACTTTTCTCTTTGGTTCGTTTCAGAACTTTACAGAACTTATCAAGATTTTTCTTGTGGCGTTCTAACCTGACTTATCATTCTCGTTCCTAATCGTTCGAGGGTGTGGCGTCAACCAACTTTATACCTCTGGTTTTTGTTGTGTCATATAGACAACGGGTCAAGGCTTTTAACTTTGGTTCTTGTTGCGACATAAACAACGGGTCAAGGTCCTATTATAAACCTTATTTAGCTTTCCTGGAGTTCAGAAATCCCTTGTTGTGCTGTGGGTCTCATTGTTCTCTTTGGGGTTCTCATCACCTCTCCTCTTTTGCCCTCCATTCACCTTAATGTAAACATATTGTAAGGTTGGATCCATTGAAAACCAAGTGTTGTTTTATAAGTTAGGTCTAGAGTTCAAATCTTGAAGCTTGCATCAGGTCAATATAAGGGGTGCACTCAAGATTGCCTGACAGTAAAATAATAAAGAAATTCGATTCAATTTGTGAACTAATGCAAACCAAAAAGATCAATCATGCATGCTATTTAATCATATTTCTAATTGTGTTCTTCAAGCTTAAATCATATATGTAATTGGCATGTACAAAAAAAAAAAAAAAAAGAAACCAAAACTCATATATGTAATTGTCGTATCTTCTCCTCAAGTCTCTGAATGTTAGTGTCAATGTCTCTACCAACATTGGACTCATATGCTTCTTCTTCATTGGAGGATGATAAATATAACATAATAGGGGCAAGAAGCATCTTTTGTATGTCGGCGATATTGGAGCATTCCTTAGTTGTCGTAGCTATGCACCCAGTTGTTAAGGAATGGTAAGAAAAGTCCATTGTCTTCGTCACTCCATGAATGCAATGATTCAGTAGTTTTGAATCTTTGGTGTCATACTAATCATCGGTTTTGAATCCTAAAAAACAACAGTAGCACCCATTCCCATTCCAAATTCTTAGTTTTTCATTGTCATGCAAAATATCGCAATTTTATTGTCACTACTGCCATTAAATATTAGCTTATGACAATGTTATAATTCCAATACAATATAAGATTATAAGTTCACAATCATGAAATGGTATTAGATTGTAACAAAAAAAATTACATCCTCTTGCCCCCCTTTGAATCTTTCAAGATTCTCAACTTGCTATTTTTTAACCATTTCTTTTTCATTTCCTTAAACAAAAACAAAGATGAAAATGAAAATAACACTTTTTTTGGAATTATATGTGTATGTAATATGCTTAGAGAATACACAATGAAATCAAATATAAAGGAAAGATTCGTATTTCATTTCTCATTAATTATGTATCATTATCTTTCTTTCTTCTTTTCTTTTTTAATGGTCTTGGAAATGATTGTTTTATTATTTTTTTGAAGATAAAAAAGTGTTTTATAGTTTAAATTGCAAAACATAAATTGTTGGATGAGAGGTAGGGTGGGCCTTTCCTTCCCCTAATCAATAGTCCTTATTTTGCAGTCCAATATGGTTTGGACTACAAAACACCGGACTCTTTCAAAAATGATATAGTTAAAAAGTCACATGATATTATAAACTTACAATGTGATATATTATTATATAATTCATTTTTTTACTCAAGGGTCCACCCATGATACTATATGTATTTATTAATTTAATGACACATCATGATTATAAACTTACAATTTTACATGGTATTGTAACTAAAACATTGCCTTTTTCCTTTTTTGTATCATCATATTTATCCCTTGGTAAGTTGCACATATTTCCAATATCTTTAGATTAATTAATTCCTTCTGTTGAACCTGCGTTGCTGGTTCCGAAAAAAAAAAA